AAATAAAAAGAAGCAACATGCGGGCAGATAAGCTGTTCTGTGGAGACGGGCTGGCATCTTGTGTCCCCCCACCCAGTAAGGGGAAGTGCCGCCAGCCTGGGCAGAGGGAGGGCTGTGACTCAGTCCCTCGGGCTGACACACGCATGCACCCGGGCTGTCACCTGCCGCAGTGAAAAATAAAAGTCCTCGCCACAACACGGTGGCCACGTGGGAAACGCCGAGTAAACAGATCAATGACACCACGCGCCCACACGGCCTGTCGCACCGCTGGAGTGAAGAACAAACAAACCTGTGGTCAACGGCAGCGAAGGAGAGAGGTGTCAGAATAATTCTGTTTCGTTTGGTGTGCCGTATTGCAACTAGCCGTACTGCAACTAACACCACTGTCCTCTTCCGTCGTACTGCCTAAACACAGCTAAACACGGGCAGGATGCTCCTCCTGGCCATGCAGCCCATGGTTGCTGTGTGTCCCCAGACAGGGATGCCTCCGGCATAGGGGTCTTCGTTAGAACCATCCAGAAAGGGACGTGGGCTCACTGCCCACATATGCGTGCAGCTGCTGTGCAGGAAGCTACCCCAGCGCTTTTCAGACTATACTGAAAATACTTGTCCAGATATATATTTTAATATTTAAAAAATTTAAATATTTTTACAGATGACTATTTTATATATAAATATATGTACTTTTATATATATATATACACACACACACATATGTATATATAAATAAAAATATATTTAATCAACAGATACATTTGCAGCAAACACTTACCAAAAGCCATCCCCAGCCACCCAGGCTATGGGTGCAGCCTGCCTCAGGTATAGAGGTACGGACAGTGTGGAGGAGCACCTGATCACTCTGGGGACCAACGCAGTGCCAGTAGTGGTCAATGGCTTTATGTGTTCTCAACAGGGGGGCAACAGGAGTAACCGGACTAATTAGTGGCAAAGAAGATACCTGCCTGGACGTGTTCCTGTGTGACCTATTCTAGGTGGCCCTGCTCTGGCAGCGGGGTTGGACTAGATGATCTTTCGAGGTCCCTTCCAACCCCTAACATTCTGTGATTCTGTGGTTTCCCCTAGATTGTAGGAAAATGCATTTTGGCAGTTGCGAGTGTGACACCTAGGACAGGATGCCACGGGAAGTCGCAAAGGTCCCCTGGGCAGGAGACGCTTCACACAATGGTGCGTGAGGTGCAGAGCCCCGATGTGCCAGTATCATAAACTGGGTAAGAAAATGCTTTCTCCACTATGAAAACAGCACTCCAACAGGAAAACATACCAGAAAAAACATAAAATCCACACATGGCCACATCTCGCATGAAAATCCAGTAGGATAAAACTGGATTAGCAGGGAGGTTGGACTAGATGATCTCCAGAGGTCCCTTCCAACCCCTACCATTCTGGGACTCTGTGAAAACCAACCATGTCCTCAGGTACGGCCATGGCACTTGGGAAGTGGGTTTGGTACTGAGAGTTGGGAGTGTTTGGTAAGTCAGTGTTCAAAGGGACGCATCTTTACCTTCAGAAATCTGATTTCCTGCCTAATTCAGTCAAATTACCTGACCTTTCAGTGCAGATTTTAAAAAAGATACATTTTTTCTAGCCTGTGGTGGTAGGCGGATAACAGACATTTAATCACCAAAATCTGCATCTTAAAATTTTACATTATTTACATCTTCCTACAGATGGTTGTAGGACAGATTTCAAGAAATCTTTTAAAACCATTTTTGAAATATTCTGAAGAACTCATACTTAGCAAATACAAATTTGTTTACAGAGGCTTCTGAGTTTCGGGTTGCCTTCTTTTTTTCCTGAACAAAGCACTTAAAGGTCCTTGCTGAATTCTGAACACTGCAGAAGCAGTACAAATTAGGACAATTAATTAGACGCAGAATGCCACTGATTGGGATGTTATTTTTGCTGCTTTTAAAGGAAAACACAGAGGGGTAAAACAAAGTGAGAAACATGAACGGAGTGTAGAAATTGCTAGGAACCGCTGCCTGTCTCTGCTGGGATGCCAGCAGCCCTGTCCCAGCATCTGCTTCAAGGCACCGCCACAATCCCAGTGCCGGAGCAAAGACGTGTCCGTACTCTGCCTTTCGTGACCATTTGGGATAACAAACTGTGAGCTGCTCAGCGAAGAGCACAACTTCTCCCCAATTCCTATACTCCCTCACTGTAACACACGCAGTCTAACCTGCCCAGGATGAATCCCCAGTGGACACGGAGAAATTTTTTTTTTAAACTCAGCACTGTAACAGGGTTTTGTAATCTCCTCCATCAGAACAAGGAAGGTACCTTCTGCTTTGAATTCAAAGATCAATACATATTATTTTTCATGGAGATCACATCAATCAGCATCCTAGCAGTATTATAAAAACTAAATAATAAATGGACAGGGCAGGGGGAAGGTGTACTTGTTCATGATACACTGTACCCTGGGAAAAGCAAGAAGAATACAGTTGTTACAGCCGGGTCAACCTTGTGCAATTGCTCTTTCCAATAGGGCTAATCAACAAGGGAAAGCTTGCTTCTTTTTATGGGAATTGCTATAACAAGGTGATTGTTACAAGCAGTTTGTTATCAAAATAGCCAGACAGTGGGAAATGCCGTGAAATTAAGTAAACAACCGGCAGCTTGCTCTCCCATCTACCTCCGCTGGCACAGATCTGCATGCACGATGGGTGCAACCCTGTCCAACAGCCTGCGAGGTGATACACCTGTTTTCTAGGAGTTAGAGCTCACATCATGTTTTCAAAGTTTGGCATGTCCTGAGCACACGGCCACAGTAAAAAAAAAAAAAAAGGAAAGCACATATTTGATATTAGCTCCTATATCCGTATACTGGTTTTCAAGTTCATTTGGCCCTCAGACCTGATTTTAATGTTGGAAATGGAGATTTTTCAGTATCTGCAGCAGAAGAGACAGCAACACAAAACTTCCTATGAGCTTCTTGGAATAAGTGAGGGTTTTTTCCATTTACGCTCATTCAGTTTCTGGCTGAATCCTAATTCCTAAGAAGGATGCCATTTTTAAAGCTGGTTCCTCTGAAAGCGTTTTTAATAGTAAATTTGCAAGATGCCTAATGATAAGCTTTTCAAACATCATGAGAAAAGCCTGCAAAAAATTGTGAGTAAGGCTTCCAAACCTCATGGGAATGGTGCTAAGCAGGACTAATGATCAACAAGTTGTTTCTGCCTGCCTAGCTGTTACAACTTGTATTTTCACATTTTCTTCCCTTAAGAAAAGTGCTAGAGACAAGTTTTCAGCCAGATCGAAAATTCTCCTGTAGTCAGACGATTCCTGCTATCAGGGGTTTGATTAATAACTGCACCATATATTGCCAAGCCCACAATGAAATGGCAATGCTCGCCCTTTTTCGGAAAACAAAATCAAACCAACACCTTGTAAGGCCTCTTTGTCAGCAAATTCTGTTACTACCCAGCCTTTCTCGATTGTCTACTACTTGGCTATTATTTTTGCTGACATTCATCACACCAGAAAAAATGTTCTCCTCTCTTTAAAAACTGAATTTCTATCTGCATTAAAAAACCATGTCCTCCTTTTGCAATAGACTTTTCTTGTTTTAAATAATACTTTCAGTGTCACATAAGCAAATAAAGTATCTCAAAAGGAGGTATATTTCTAACATAAACTCTTCAGTTCCAAAATACTCCTATTTTTTTAGAAGCGGTATTACAAATAAGTTCCTCAGATTAAAAATGGTGTTAGTAAGCATTCAAGAAACCCTGACCAGCAATGAGTGTTGTGACTGGCTTCACTGCCCTGTCCTGATTAATCATTAAACTGATTTTGTCACTGCAGTGAACGAACAAAGGCAGGAACATGCACAGTGCCACATTGTGAACCACAATTTTGTATTATCTCTGGTTCAGCTTTTGCCAAGCTCCTCTATATCACCATCCGAAAGATAAAAGCCTCCTAACCACAACGAGATTTGGTTTTATTTAAAAAAATAATGCAATAAAGTTATGCTCAAGTCCTTTTCCAAACTTGGCAGCCCTGGGGTGTCCCACCCTGTGGACAGCACAGACCACCACATCCATGCCATCCTTGTAACGGTCCACAGGCTTCTTCCACCTGCAGGTCCATCCCAGATCTAGGGTTAGGATTGCTGACAAATTAAAAAGGGTCAAACCAATTTCTCTGCTCTAGAATTGCCCATTGATTCCATTCCAGGCTGATGCTATGCAAGGTTTCAGAGGAGGGTTTAGCCATGATGGAGGAGGAAACGTGTGCACAGCACCACAGGCGCTCCCTGTCTTGGGAGGAAAAAAATCAAAGCACATAACACACACCAGGAGCTACTACCCAGACTGAGGAGACAGGAAGGGGTCTGCAGCCCCCTCAATCCCCTTTGTCCCTAGCAGATCTGCGCATGGCTTTCTCCACCCTCCTATAGCCAGGTGGAGCAGTTAACTCCCCCTGGAAGGAGCTGGAGGTGGCAATGAAGATACTACTGATGCTTAAAGAGCCTTTTGGGGCAGCAGGCTGAAAGGAGAAGCAGTGCCTGGGCTCCTCTGAGGGAAGTACTCTGGAAATCCCAAAGGAGGAGGATATGGGTTTGATGATTGAAAAAATACAGGGGTGCCTGCAGTCCTGCTGAGCAAAGGACGGCCTCCAAACCTGTGTGGAGCATGTGCAGCTTCAGCACAGCACCCTGAGGGAAGTATATGCACGCTCACCCAGTTGTGGAGAAAAACGAAGCGTAATTAGGGGGATGGGGTGAAGAGAAGCTATTTTAAGTACTTCTCGCTATGGTTTACTATGGTAGCAGAACACTTAGAAAAACCTTCAAAATGACAATCACCATTTAGGTTAAAAAAGTAAGTAACTACTTCGATAACAATTTATTCACCACCTAATGTTTGCTGTTGAATTACAGCTTTTACTGCCTCCACCTTGCCTCTCCAAGACCTTTTTATTTTCCTGTTTTTTTTTTCTTTAAATAGAAAGGAATTTGAATCATGACTTACATGTAACTTTTCTAGGTTCTGTGCTGGCTAAAATGTTCTCACGATGCAGGGAACAGGATCAATGGAGAAATTAAAAGGCTGCAGCAATCCATTAAGAAGTGGCCCTCCAAAGCTTTGTAGGGCAATGTTCTGGCAACTCGGTCAATAGCAACCTAAAATAAAACAAACATAGGCATTGAAAAATTCAAGCACTAAATCTTCACAAAACCTCTCTTACCCCCCCCGCCTTCTAATTCTAAAAATAGTTTGGGGGCCTTTGAAGATCTTTATGTCAAACATGACAATTACACTATGCCTGTTACATACCCCCTCTTACCTTTAAGCTGTAGACACCTTACAACAAAGACTATGTTTTTCTTGCATTCGTTTAGCACCCAGACATATGAGGCCCCTGAGAAGAACTACAGAACAGATAAACTAACACTTCTGTCATTGTTCTACCAGGTCATACCATAGGTATGTGCATACTTACTTACACACACATACTAAGAAGTTCTTCACTGTGAGGGTGGTGAGACACTGGCACAGGCTGCCCAGAGAAGCTGTGGCTGCCCCCTCCCTGGCAGCGTTCAAGGCCAGGCTGGATGGGGCTTTGAGCAACCCGGTCTGGTGGAAGGTGTCCCTGCTGGAAGGTGTCTCTGCCCATTGAAGAGGGGTTAGACTGGAGGAGCTTTAAAGCTCAACCCAAACCATTCTGTGGTTCCATGAAACTACATCACACCAGAAAGGTGTTTCAACAGAACTAGCAAAATGATCTAACAGACTTTTAATAACAATTAACACTGCCTTTTGTCAAAGCTTTGCTTTGATTTTATCACGGAATTTAAGTTAGGAACATCAAATTTGTTCCTTTGTTTCTGATTTATTCTGGGGACCTTCAGAGAGGTGACACCATCAGTGCAGTTCGGTATCCCTGGGTTAATGCTATGTGTGTCATATTCCCACATCCACCCTAAAGCAAAGCTACCTGTCATGTCTGTCCTTGTCAAAAGAAATTTGAAGAGGGACTAAAATGATCGTGAGCCCACAGCAAATTCATTGTTCTGCCACCGCCGTGCAAGGGGCTCGGGACTCAGTCCCTGGAGGGGAGGCACTCTGGAATGGGGCTGCTGAAAGCAGAGCTGGGGCCAGGGGGCTAGAAGAGGGGGTGAACCCCCAGCACCCAAATCCCGGCATCCCCGCACAGCCCAGATCCCATCCGACACCCAGGCCATGTGACTCTGAAAAGGCTTCCCCCGCCTATCAAGGAAGCAGTCACACTGAAGTGGTTGGGAAGGAAATACTTATGGAAGGAGAAGTAATTAGTTTTAAGTTATAGGGATTTTCAAGTTGAAGTTTTCAAGTTGCCAGCACCCAACACTTTACTGTGTTCCTGGAAAAAAAAATTCGAATGCTTAACTACCATTTACTTGAATAAAGCTGGTGATTGGGAGTGGAAAGGAAGATGATTTTCTTTTGAACAGAAGGGGACAGCAGCAGTACAAGCAGCAGCATGTATCTATCTTCCCAGGATCACCACAAGGGCTGCGTCTGCAGAATTACCACAAACTAAAGCTAGATAAAGGGAGAGCTGAGGAAAAGAAAACCTCAAAGTTTAGATTTTTTAAAAAACTATTATTCTTTTCCTGAAACTTGCAAAACGAACTCTTCAGTAAAAACTTCCAGATTCTCAAGAAATGTCTACTGACTCCATTAAAAAGTCAAAAAAACCCACAAAGCAGTGCAAATGAAAAGGTTTGGTGGTTGTTTTTTATAAGTATGCCATTCCCAGCAAAAAAAAGTTCAATACCTTCTCAGCACTGATGCTACAGCATTTTACTCCAAGCCTTGTAAAGAACTGGATCACTTATAAAAAGTAGGTTATTTCTTCTGGATAGCATCCGCCTAGATGATTTACCAACAGATGCTCAAAATACTGCTACCTTTAAGGACTACCTATATGGGTACGCGAAAAGAATCACGAGGCTACGCCAGGAACACAATGCTTATGTCTCTTCAGTTTATATAATTTTCTCCAACTGGGCATAACATTCACTGACAGACTGTAAGTGGACCAAAAATTTACGGTCGCAAATGTCCATTATCTAAATTGCCTATAAACCCAAAAATATAAACTCCTAATCTGTTCATTCATAAAACACTGGTAGAACAAAACCAACTGTTGCTTGCTCAATGGCTGAAAGAATATAACCAGGGAAGGCTCTGTGTTTTCAACGACAAGTTAGCTTCCTGAGCTAAAATTGCACTTGCCACAGCATATCAGAAGGAAAGGAGAATAGACAGAAGTAGAGAACAGGGAAACAAGAAAAAAAGTGGGGTGGGGAAGTCTTTCAGTGCCACACTTTTCTGAGAAGGTGTGATTGATGTTCACTGCTGTAGAAAGCATGAGGCTGCATCCCAAACATTTCATTCCCTTCTGCAAATATCTCACTCCATATCTTGTCCCATGTTCCCCAGATATTCTTGCCCTATGCAGGACGATCCAGCCAGCATCAGGTTTGACACATGATCTAAAACATGAAAGCAAGAATCTCTCTGCCCAGGGGTCAGCTTAGGGTAGAATGAAATCTAACCCTCCGCCTACGCTCAACATGAGTGCTTCTTCATGCTTTCCATTCGATAAAAGAATTTTCTTTCTGAAACAGGCAAATTATTAAAAGCAAAACTCTCTCTACACCTGTAAACTTACAAGGAATACATCAAAACTGAGCTTATACAAAATGAAGAGCAATGGTGCATCTACTGAAGAGGAGTTTCAGCATTTTAACATGCCGACCAGCCAGGTTTACAGCACGGGAAGAGCTGGATCCTAGGCACGGGAAGATGCACTCTCTGCTCCAAGGCATGCTCACATCAAGGTCTCAGCTCTCAGCACAGACCTGCATATATGGGCAATCAGCTACAGGATCACAAGAGGCCACAAAATCATTGATCTATGTCAACCTGAAGACCCAGCTCCTGGAGTCATGGGAGCTGCAAGGAAATCTTATCTTTATTTTAAAAAGAAGCTGCTTTCACAGCTGCAGAGAAAGCTAGCAAAACAGTACTTCAAACTGGACATTTTAAGTTGTGGGTTTGTTGTTTTTTTTTTTTTTTTACAGTTACATTGTTTAACAACCTCTTGTACATTTTTGAATCAGGTTACCCTTTTTTCCCCTTTCTGAGGGCCTCCAGCACTGCTTGGCAGTACAAGTTAGCACTGAAGAATGTAAATGTAAAGGAAGACGCACCAGACACCACAACTGGCAGAAATAAGCATGAAGCTAAAAAAAAATTTACTTCAAGAAAACACCTTCCAGCTTGTATTTCTGTTATACAGAGGGTGTGTTTCAAAGGGAGGTTTTGTTGTTAATGTAAAATAACGAGAGCTTTGATGCTTAAGAGGAGGAAAGCTGGTTAAGTTCTTCAGTTTGCAATGAACAGATGGAGAAAGATTATTTGAGAACAGCATGATGAATGTACCTGTGCATTACTCTGGTTAGCATGAAAGATGTTTCAGACAGAGAAAATCATGTAATCATGCTCAAGAGAACCAGAGAAGCTGGGCAGGCAATGAGAGAGGCGAGCAACAGGTTAGCAAACACATCACTGTTCACAACGGGCACGTAAAATTAGGGCTAAGTAAAACGAACCCACATGACAAGACAACTTGGTGAGCTTCTCACAGATGCGGACAGGAGGAAAAAAACATTTAAGGAAGGCTGCGCACCAGCAAGCAGGGAGAAGTAAGCACAGATGTCCAAACAGAGCTGGTGTTTTGTGAAGTGACGCCTCACTTCATGGAGTGCAATGCTTCTTACACAAACATGTGCAGAAATTAGTCCCAGGGAAGTCAAGAATCCCAGTCTGTTACATGCAATACCATCACAGATTAGCAAACATGTTTTCTTCACGTTTTGTGTGTTTTCCAGTGAAGCTGAAGAATATTTCGTTCTGGTTGAAACAGCTTCATTGGAACATTTGTAGCTTGCAACTGCTTGAAGGATTGCCTGAGGCTCATTTGCAGTGCTCCTAACACCTAGTGCAGGATCTCTCTCTGAAATCCGTAAATTAAACCCAAGATGATATTGATACCTACATCAGAAAAGATGCATGGCCTGCTTCACTATCAGTGCATTTAATTTCCTCCTAATAACCTGCTCTGGTCTTCCAAAGAGAAGGAATGTGATCATCTAT